TTACAGAGAATCTTGGACATGGATGGGGCTGCCCAGCCGCATGAATGTATTTACATTGACGAGGCTGGATTCAACCTTAGCAAAAACAGACGACGGGGACATAATATCATTGGCCAAAGGGCAATTTTGCACGTCCCAGGGCAGCGTGGGGGAAATATCACTTTTTGTGCTGCCATAAGTCTTCAAGGGCTACTGCACCATTATGCCAAACTGGGTCCCTATAATGCACAACACATAATAACATTTCTAGATGCACTTCATGATGCAGTTGTACAGGATGGACCAGGGCAGCCCAGGTTTGTTATTGTCTGGGATAATGTCAGTTTCCATCGGGCTGCTCTGGTCCAGGACTGGTTCACAAACCATGATCAATTTGAAATTCTGTACTTGCCCCCTTACTCGCCATTTTTAAATCCTATAGAGGAATTTTTTTCCGCTTGGAGATGGCGTGTATATGACCGCCAACCACATGCCCGTATGCCTCTTCTGCAGGCAATGGAACAGGCCTGCGGAGACATTGAGGTGAGGTCAATCCAGGGATGGATTCGGCACACAAGGGGATATTTTCCCCGATGCTTAGCAAGAGAAGACATTGCTTGTGATGTTGATGAGATCCTGTGGCCAGACCCCAACAGACGGCAGGATCCATAAGCCCACTTGCGCACACTTGTGTTTTTCTGTGTTTATAGTAGTGTGTTGTTTGTTTTATTTTTGATTTAACTGAATTTACTGTACTGTAAAATATACTAATTTACAGTTTTTCTCGATTGTTTACACACATTTTCTGAAAGAATCCCTCATATTCTCAGAACTCTACACACAAATCTAAAAACACTCACACAATTGTCAAAACCCCTCAATTCTCCTGCAAAATGAAACTTTACATTCAAAACAATGTTATTTCTTCTCAAAATGGTATTTTGTTTTCAAATGACACACACAAACCATCATATGAATAGACATTTATAAGAACCAGTTGAACACTGATGTGCTCAATGTAACACACTATGATCAATGGAAAACACTTCTTCTCCATTCATCATAATGACTTAGGCCTTTTTTGTTCAGTGTTACACTTACTACAGACATTACATACATAAGTGTGTTGTAAAATATTTGAGAATATTGTTTTTATACCCAGAACATACAAATACACGGTAACAAATATATTTTATTTTTCCCACAAAATCAATGGGAGATAGATCCCACATTTTGTACACCCCAACCAACACAAAGTTGCACATACAGTGGTCTACATACAAAACAACAGAATTTTTTTATGCTGTTACAGTAAAAAAAGAAATAAAAACATATCTATGCTGCATTCTCTCTTTGGTTTTGGTATTTTATGCTAAAGCTCTGATTGCTAATTGTAAAACTGTGTGACGGGTGTTTGCCCATGTGACGAGTCAGTGTGAATATTTGAATGGCAGTGTGTTCCTCGTGAAAACAAGAGATTTTCTGCATGAAAATTGTGCCAAATGCAGAGAATTGTGTGTAGTGTTTTGAAAAACGTGTGTTTTGGAACTGCAATTCGAGTGTAAAGCAGGAATTGTGCTTGTAGTTCAGCAGAATTGGTTCAGGGGGTTGGTCAATGAGTTACATGTTGTGGTCATTGTGTCTCAAGTACCAGAAAATGTGTGTAAACAATCGAGAAAAACTGTAATAATTTTGAATTCATTATTTCATTTTTTGGTAACTGTGAAAACATGCCCTCTATGGAACTGAATAAAACATTGACAACAAAAGACTGTAGTTTTTTTTATATAAAGTAGACTAGTGAGTTGCTGCTGATCTGAAAGTGTATTCATATGATGCAAGTGGGTATCATTTTGTCATCAGAGTGACATTTTGACAAAGGATTGTTAGGTTTTGATAGTAGAGTTTAAATTTGACATAGATGTGAATGGTTTATTTCCCAATGTTGTGTCTTATTTGCTTGTGTGTAGAGTTTTGACACAATGAGCCAAATTTAGCAAAATGTGTGTAAGCAATGGGTAAAAACTGTAAGTACTATAAAAAGGCAAAAGGTAAGTTAATCTGTCTTGGTGTCAGAGGAAGACCTGGAGGAGTGATAGGACATGCACAAAGAAGAAGACAACCAAATTCAGACAGGGTCAAGGTCCTGCGGCGTGAATATGTGGTGGTACGTTTTATTCACTGACTGTATTGTGTACTGCACACATAACCTTTTTTTACGTACTGTACATGTAATTTTACTATATAGCCTACAGACCTACAGTATATTGATCTACACAATGTGATCTTTTGCTGTATTTCAGAGAGTTGTGCAATGGATGCGGAGGAAGTCCTGCATGAGTACCGCATGAGTCCCACATTTCATCAATACGCACAATTTACAGTTCAGTATTTTCCACCATACTCCCTTCTTCTTACAGTAAGGCACTATGTTGAGTTCTTCTCAACATGGCGGTGGAAGGTTTATGATCTCTGGCCCTATGTCCAGATGCCCCTCATTCAAGCTATGAAGGAAGCATGTGATCAAATTGAAGCAGCATCCATAGATTCGTCACTCAAAAAGATTCAAGAATGAAATGAAAACATAGCATAATATCTGATGTTTACGAGGCCCTGTGGCCAGAACCAGCTTGGCGGAGAAATATTTAGTACTGAACTGGATATGTAATCTGTTACAGTATTACTGTAAGCTTACAGTACAATGGTACGTTCCGTAATACTGTATGAAACTGGAAAATGTTTTTGTTGTTGTTGTTGTTGAAATGTTCAGTATTGACTGACTTGAGTACATGAAAAGAAATAAATATTTTCATTAGTCTGCAAAATTTGTGTCATGTGGTGTTGGTGAATTTATTTTTTTCACTTTCTCTGTAAATGCTAAAAGTGTTTTAGGTTGAGCATAGGAGTGTTTAACTGATTCAAACAGAGTCAAACCATACGATGGTTGTGTTCATGTTATTTCAGCAAAATAAGGTTTTTATAAGACATTGAGTTTGACAAAAGTGTTCCATTTTGCAAATTATCTGAAGTGTTGTGCTACTTTGTTGTAGGGTTGTGTTAATTGTGTGTAGTGTTTTGACAAACCGGGCCCTGTTTTCAAAATTGTGCTTAAGCAATCGAAAAGTTCCCAGGATCAAACTTCCCTTGACATTGATTCCTCGGTACATTGATGGCTACAGCAAACGGCTCGGGATCACTTTTTGCATGGGTTTTCTGAATAGCTGTAAAACATCAAATGAAGCCACTTGAAAAGAGTAGCATGATTTTTACTAATGATTTTTACATTTACTGTAACACATTTATTGTTGCTTTAACACAAAATGCATACAATGAACACAAATTTAAAATGCTTGAACTTTTCACACACAAGCTTAAACAAGACCAAAACAATGGATTTTTACTGCCAAATTTACCATTGCTTTAACACTGTATGTCAGAACAGATAACACCATGTTCTAAACCTAATTTTACAGGCTAAAGTCAAGGTAAACAGCTGTTTATATTGTGAATTGAAAATTAAATGAATCCCCTGTATTTTATTCTATTGTTACTGAGAAACAGCTGATTGAATAATGCAAATATGGGACAATGTGACAATGCGGCATTTTCACAATTCCAGTACAGTCATGGCCTGGTTTGATCCCATCAGAGAATGATGTCCCCTTTCCCTTTCTTAGCCTGGAGATGGAAGGCTTTTGACCATCGTCTATAGGTATGTAAACAAATGCTTGTATATATGGAGGTGTGTGCATACATATGTCTAATATACTGTATATGCAGGCTACATATATACAGTATGTACTCTGTTTCTGTGGCTTGTACATACCTGTATGTATTGCCTGCTAAAAGGAAAAATAAATAAAAATTTGATCACAAAAAAGTTTTCTGACGATCGTCCACAGGACCAAATGTCCCACCTGGATGCAATGGATTCTGCATCCCAAGACATCCCAGCTAAACACAGGGGTAAATAAGGAATGCCAAATGATTCTTTCCAAGATGCCTTGATGCCTTGCCAGAGTAGTGTATGATGTGGATGAGAACATGTGGCCAAATGGAGAAGACCGGGATGATTACAGTCAACATACTGTAATTTGTATTTTCACCTACAGTAATGCTGTAAAGGGCAAGTATTGCATATTTTTGTTATCTTGTAGAAATGTCCTGTTGCAAATAAAGCCTTTCACTGCACCAATTCTCTGTCTCATTTTTTTCATAAACCGTACATTGTGTTCTGCTATTCTGAGAAGGGTCATTCGATTTTTTTTTTAGTTTTTTTTTTATTGAATTTCTACAACATAGGAAACAAAATGCAGGCATTTGCTAAACCCGAACAAAACAAACTGTCGAGAAGCTTCAAAATAAACTACAGTGCAAAACAATCTACTGTAATCTAATATACTGTATATTGTATAAGGGCAGACCTGACATACTGTATATCAAATAATGCAGTTTCTGTAATTCCATCTCAGTGTTTTTTGTGACATTGTGCTATGATTGACTAAATGTCCCCGTTGGAAGAGAACACGTGTTAGTGTTTTGGTAGACATATAGTGTATTGTGTTAGTGGATTATTGTTTTTTGAAAATTAGTGTTGGAGTTTAGTTTACAGTGTGTGATTTTGAGCATGAAATTAACCATTTTGCCAATTGTGTGTTGTAGGCTTGTTGGTGTGTTAAGAGTTTAGAAAATTTGCTAAAAGTATTGAAAAAATTATAGCGATTGTAAATAAACTATAACAGTCATTTAACAGCTTTAACAGTTTCCTCCCCACAGAAGTAAACCAAAAGGTAATAAAGGTTTTTCAGAGTTTAGAGATATTTTGACCTTCTGTCTCCATGAGGTATAAACTACCCAGGTCTGGGAGCTTGATTAATACAAATTCTTATTGCAAGTTCATGCCTCCATGTTTTGTGTTATTCTTGAGTATTTAAAGCAATGTTGATGTCTTTCAGACATGCAGCATCACAACATAATATATAGTGAACTACTGTATAAATCATAGGCAGTTCCACAAAGGATACATGATTCAATTTATTTTATTAGGTACAGGACAGGTATTCAAAAATGATACTTTAAAGATTTATTATGCCACAGTTTGATCATTGACCGAAGCATTTTCAAGAAAAAGAAAATTAGGCTACTTATTTTTTTTTCCAGGCAGACAGAAAGCGTTCATAATGTTATTTTCCACACATTTCTGACATTCCATCACATTATTGGTTTTCTTACACCGATAAAGAGGCGCTCTCTCATTGATCTTAAGAAATTCTTCTTGCAGCTTCTTCGTGCTGTCCTTCTGCCAGATCTCTTGGAAGACAAATGCATTATTTCCATTTTTATTTTTATTTATCCAGTTTGAAAGGCCCTCTAAAATATTATTGTTTTGACCCTTAATGCATGTTTTCACACAAGGTGAGTTGTAAGAATAGAAAACTACACAGGTTTTCTGACCTGCCTTTGCTAGAAGTCTGTCCATTGGAGATTCAGTTTCACCTATAGGAGGATAGAGCAGAATATGCTCAGCATGCTCCTCTGGTTTTACATTTATATCTGGCCTTGTAGCAATGACATTGCCTAAACTTGTGCATTTCTCGTCTTCAGTGAGTTTTAAACATTTCTCTCCTTTATTGAGCTTATCTTTTACATGTTTTGCATCTTGCTTGCTGAACACAGTCTGGATATCAAATTGTTCTTCATCTGTACACTGATCCTTTGAGACACTGATCGCTATCGCGTACTGAGCATCAATTCCCATCTTGGTCTTCGGCTGGACACTGAAGACATACAATAACATAAGGTTATCATAATTCTTAATAAACATACTATTTGCCTTGTTCCATGTGCATTTTGAATTATTCAAACTTAATTCAAATTTAAATGCACGTTACTAATTAAAAACTGAATATTGATTCATTTGAATGTACTGCAAATGGACCTACTTGTCATAAAAATACTGTGTCATTTTAGCCAGGACAGCAGTGTTTACATCGCCTTGAATGCCTTGAACACACAGATGAAGCAGGCCGAGGAAGATGAGACCCCTCAGTGGTACCACGGGTGCCTAAAGTGAACACATCACTCATTTCAACACAAAACTTCAGTTAAATTAAAAATTAAGCATTTTTATTTTCTCTATTTTTGAATTCCATGCAAGTTATGACACAGCTGCACTTTTATTTTCTTTATTTTTGAACTTGCTGTTATGTTATTTGATATAGATGGTTTTCGTATTTGAGAATCAGAATATCAAACGATGACATAGCCAAAAAGTTTGTGAATTGTGTCAATAAAAAAGGAAAAACTAAATAAAAGCGATACATGCAGCAATGTGTAATGTGACTTGATGGTATTAAAAAATGAAGTAGTATGAATATGACTTACCATGTTATCTGTTGCTGAGATGAGAAGGTTCAGAGATGGTGTGTGAGTCTGCAGTGAAGCAGGAGTGAAGAGGAAGAGGAAGTAGATGTTTTTTTATTCTGACACTGGACCAGCCCTCTTCTTCAACACCATGAAAAGACCAATTGAAACACCAGTTCACACTAACATCACTGACTCCTTTAATAATGCCACTGAGCGTCTGTGTGTGTCTCGCCCTGTACGGTCTGCTGGACTTCCTCAAAATAGTCAATAAGTAACTAAAACAATTAATAATTCCTCCAAGAACTCTAAAACTGTAATGGGTTCCTCCAATAAAGATATCCAATAAAATGGATTTGAGGCAGACAGTTATTGTCTCCACAAAGATTAATATTTACCTGTAGCTCTTTATTAACCTTCAGTTTCAATGAAGAGCGACAATACACCCGAGTGTTTCACTGAAGTTGTTTTTTAACCTTAAGCAGCATCGAGACTATTTCACGTGATTAGGGCTGTTATTGTGTCAGTATACTGTCTTTCAGTATCGACTTGATAAGTTATTTTATTTGTGAAATGTGCATGTGATGGAATAACTAATCTAAAATTTCTTTTCCTTGCAGGATTAATATGTATCCTTTTAAAACATAAATGTCCTTTGGTCAAAGTCACTGTGAATCATGCCCGAATACAACAAAAGGGGAAATAAAATTAGACAGATATCTACATTTATAATCTCAAGATTTTAGGTTTAAATCCAGATTTGTTTTTACCTAATAACAGAAGAGTTTGCTGAATTATGAAGAACCAATCATATTGTATAGAAATTATGTAATAAATTATGTCACCTTGGTTATAAAAACTCAGAATTGTAGAGCTATATTCTTTTTGCTGTTGGAATTCTCTCCTGATTAAAGCATATTCTGCATTGTCTGAAGTCTGTTTGAATATTGCACAGCAGCTTAGAGGAACAGATTTTATAGTGCTCAATACGCTGACACTTTAGAGGATAAATATTATTGAGTGTCAATCAGGAGATGTTTAGGGGGCGTCGATTAGAAGATGTCCCAGGTTCACTTTGAAATTGATTTTTGGTATGGTTTTGTACATCTTGGACAGCCACGTCCAAGTGATCTGAAGGCACGGGTGCTTCGGTCTGCGCAAGCGCCGGAAAGCATCGGAAGTGATCTCTCGCGCGGTTGCAAAAAAAAAATCAACAACGTTGTCTGTTGATATATATCGAAATCATCTTCCATTGCAATTTCCTGTATATCTAAATATGTTTAGATCTTCACAGTGAAGGGTAACTCTTCTGAAATCTCGGTGTAAACAATGAGTGACGTACACATGTGAGAGACCACTTCCGGCGCTTTCCAGCGCTTGCGCAGACCGAAGGACGAAGGATCACTTGGACGTGGCTGTGGTTACGAGGTAAAATGATAAAAACACTGTTTGTTTTCTCACACAAACCGCTCGTTTCGTGTCTTAGGCCATCAATGTGTACTTACATTTACGAGTCATTAAATCATGTTTAATATGGACTTCTCTGTTCAAGCTCTTTGAGGTTGTAAGACTGGAAAACTGGAACTGGTTGATGTAATCAGTGACCAGTGTCTTCTGAAGACAAGAGGACCTTGCTTGAACAACACACACACACCCACTCTTGCAGAGGAAACTCACACAATAATATGTATTTTTAATGTGAATGTGATAATCTTTAAGGACTGTTTAGAATCATTTCAAAAGTCTCAGGGTGACTGGTAATAATGTCTCATTTCCAAATAAGTAAAAGAAAAGGTAATAAGGTTTTTAAGAATATAGAAATATCTTGCACACAAAAGGGTGTGTCTTTGAGTTAATCACCTTCTACCCTTTGTCTGAATGCAAACTCTCCTTCCCCCAGTAAGAATGGTGGGGGATTTAGTAACCTTCCATTGTAGTTTGGTGATTAGATCAGGTAAATTTGGTGATTGGATCAGGTCTAGCTCTATTTAAGGAAAATGCACAAGAGTTCAGGGCTGCCATTCTGTGTCAGATCAGCCCTGAGTCTTCCGAGACTCTGCATTCATGTAGTTAATATGTTGGGTAAAGTTTCTTTGTTTTAAAACATTAGATGGTTTGCTCTGATTATCTTTTGGAACTGTAATAATACATTTACCTGACATAATAAATTGTTATACTTGACTATTCTAACAGACTTTGACTTTATTTTCATTAGAGTTAAAAGGAATAGTCGAGCATTAACGTATTAAATGATGCACAGATATCATTGATAAACCCTTTTCATTTTATGGAGTCAGATGAAACGAGTTAATACATAAGATTAAATGTGTTGCATTTAACTAAAATTCACTTTGCTTGGAAAAGACGGAACACGCTTGAAACCTTTACCACGAATCAAACCCCGCAATTTGATCGATTTTGTGGCCCTTTTTACAAGGTGGTGACCATAGACCTCCATTATATGACTGACAGACAAGAACGGTTTGACCTAAAAATATCAAAATTGAAACTACTGCGGAAACAAAGACACCTACATCTTGGATGTCCTTGAGGAAAGTAAAACATACCAAAAATTAATTTCAAAGTGAACTATCCCTTTAAGTCAGGTGTGTAGTGGAAAAATCGAGTCAGGTGAGTAGCAACCATTATAATCACTCAAAACTCTTTGGACGAACACAGACGATGTGATGAATCGTTTATGAACAGTCAAGTTATTCATGCCCTTACTGCATGGACAAAACAAGTTTATTTATAGGTTTAAGACATACAGTGATTTGAAAATATGCAGCATGATTATTGACATAAAAGGCTTTTTTAAGACACACAATTTTGATTTAACGTCTCACTGCTAGCATCTCCACACTTGTAGCATTTCGTTTGACTATTTTCCTTCACACAGCGATAGAGAGGCACTCGATTATTAATCTTTGCAAACTGATCTCTTACAACAGACCAGTCTTTGTGCCAGATCTCTTGGAAAACTAAGGCTTTAATCCCAGTTTTATGTGTGTTTAGCCACTTCGAAAGGTCATACAAAATAGTGTCAGCTTTATAATTAATGCACTTTTCTATGCAAGGTGAGTAGTAAGTGTACAAAACAACACATTGATCATCATTTGGCATTCTTAAAATTTTGTCCATGGGTGATGTATTTGTGGCGTCCATAGGATAGATAAGAGCATATTCAGAATGTAATGTTTCTTCAGAAGAACCGGTCATTTGGATCCAGCTCGGCTTTGCAGCAGCGAGACTGAACAAGTCTTGGGTGACTTCACAAAGCCTTCGCTGACCATTAGTCTTGAAATCATTGAAGGCATTTTCCATTTCGTCCGTGTTGAAAACCGAATCAAGACTAAACTGTTCTGTACACTGTTGATAAGGCACCCTGATGACTACAGAATACTGATAAGGCCTGTCATGTTTGGTTGGCTGCAACCTAGAAGAGAAAAAAATCACAAATATTACAGTTTTCAAAAACTAAATCTTGCGTCTGAGACAGAATCAATGACATTTGTCCTTTCTTATGCTCTGTGGCAAACAGGACGTAGCCAGATCCATGGGAACGGAGCGAGCCATATCGGCCTCAAGTCCCACAGAGGAGCTCTGGGAGAATAAAAGGAGAAATGATGACAGTGAAGGTTGAGAGAGGACCAGGCCTGCATTTTACATTGTGTTTTGTGTTTATGTTTGTGCGGCAGTTGTCTAGGAGGGTACGACTTTCATTTAAGTTTCCCGCCTCCAATTTCCTATAAAGCCTACTGCCTGCTGCAATGATGGGGAGGAGTAGGGAGTATTATGATAGGACAGTGAGTAGACATGAAGCGAATTGGGAAAGAGAGAGGGAAATGGGATCTTTAACTTTGGTACATACACATTCAGCATTAACACATTTGACATATTTTTACAGTAAATTGTGCAAATATAGACTTACTTGTCATCAAAAAACTGGATCATTTTAACAAGAACGTCAATGTTCACTTGTTCATGATCGCACTGAATACACAGATGAAGCAGGCAGAACATGAACATCCTCAGTGCACCAGATGCCTAAAGTTAAAACGACAAACCTGATAAACAAAAGAACAAAAGCAACAAAACAGCCATGATGAAAATACTCACCATAATTAATTTTAGAGAAGAAGGCAGACGCTTCTGAGCTCTTCAGAGAAGATGTTTTTGGTCCCGTCTGACTCAGAGAATATTCTTTCGTGATCAGCCATATGCAAATAAAACACTTGCAATCTATAACAGAGCAGGGTGTGTTAATGTTTAATTAAGTGTTTGACATTTGCATATAATTCAGTCCATATCAGTAGTCAAATATCATTACAATGAATGTCCTCTGTACTGCAGTTCAGCAGTGGACCATCAGTAAGACCAACACAATTGGACTAGTTATAAATATGCTAAATATACAAGTAATAATTATGAATTTCTTCAAGACTTCTTACAGAAAGATTCAGAACATGCCAATTTGAGCTAATTTAACAGTGATATAGGCCTACACAAGTGTGTTCTGTCTAGATCAAACTTTTACACTATGTCATGTCTTAAAGCAGTATTTCCCAACCCTGTTCCTGGCGGCACACCAACACTGCGCGAATTCTTCTCAATATGCCTTATTGTCTACTTGTGTTCTTGTGAACTTGTAAAACGTCATCAGTCGCGGCCCAAGTACTGTCCCAATACACAAGTTTGCATTTAGGCAAGAACGGTTAAAAATCCCGGATGTGTTCTTGACACTCCCATTTTACAGAGAATGCATCGGTTGGTAACTTGTGTGAACTTGACAGCAGAAATATCCCATTATTAATTTCGGCATTCGCGGAAGGAGCGGGAAGCAGAGAGAGGCAGGTCAAAAGTTACCTGAATATTACCGGCGTTTTTTCCTGCCATTGGCTATAGCGATGTACACAAACAAACAACAGAATTAAAAATGAGACAGGTGTTGCTTTATTGTTATGAATACATTACATTGTAGTGTATGTGTAGAGTAATCCCTTAGGCTTGGGCGATAAAGCCTGGCTGTATAATAATTCTCGTTATGTTTGGGCACTGCAGACGGCGTCTGTACGGGGGTACCACTGTAAAAAATGATTTTTTGGTGAAGCAAATAGTAGTGAAAAAACCCAATCTAATTTAGCCTACTTGAAAAAGTTAGTTCAGACAAGAATTTAAAAAACGAAGTAAATTCCATATCAGTACTTAATTCAAGCCAGTAGAAATGAAAGTGTAAATATCAACTCAATAAAATTAAGTAAAAATTACTCAACTTTTCTGATACTGGGGTTCCCATCATGCACTGGACCTTGAATAATTAATGAGGCTCATTTTTCACTGGTTTCCAGCTGTATTTACACTGTTTTATCATTGGTTTTTGTTGTCAGTATTAGTAAATTCCCATTTTGTGACATTTCTAGTAAATTTTTTGCTCAAAATGACACATTCAAACACAAAAACGCCCCATCAAATGTTACCGCCAATGCCATTGTGTATTGTCTACCAAGTATTGAGGTTTTTGCATTCACATGAGGCTTATTGTCTGACATGATGAATATATATAAATTACTTAGATGATCTAAGTAAAGCACGTACTTTAATGACTAATAAAATTCAAGATTATTGTTTTAGTGAAATGTAATACAAAGGCAAAGGAAATCGATATTAATCAACCTTTTACTGGCCGAGTTAAAATTACTTATTTTATGTAAAGTTTACTTAATTCCATATTCCAAGTTAATTTAACTTAAATATTTCTAATTAAAGCTACTGATAAATATGTTTAGGTTGTTTTTACTTGGCAAATCTTTGTAAATTTACTAGCAGCATTTTCTGAGTGAGATAGTTTAGCAAGGTTTTTTCAAATAAATCCTACTCCAAATGATTTACAGTGTACTATTGCGCAATACCAGCAACAACGCATCGTCTCAAACTGTCAGCAGCGTTCTGCGTGCTCGTCACCTCGTGAGTTCCTTCTTCCAAGAACAAGAGCTTTCTTCCCAAGAACTCAAGTCCGTTTTTGCATTCTTGAGAAACAGCTTTTGTCTCCCTTATCAAACACACCTAAATCACATCATCAGCTCAATCAGATGGGTTAATGAGCTGATGAGTTGAATCGGGTGTGTTTGATTAGGGAGATAAAGAATACGTGCAGTGTTGGTGTGCCGCAAGGAACAGGGTTGGGAAACTGCCTTAAAGGATTAGTTGACCTCAAAATGAAAAAAAATTTCCTGATAATTTACTCACCCCAAAGCCATCCAAGATGTTCATGTATTTCTTTCTTCAGTGGAAAAGAAATTACGTTTTTTGAGGAAAACATTTCAGGATTTTTCTCCATATAATGGACTTCAATTCAATTCAAGTCCAAATCAATGCAGTTTCAAAGGGCTATGAAGTGCTTCAAACGGCTCTGCACGTTCCCAGCTGAGAAATAAGGCCTTACCTAGCAAAACGATCGCTCATTTAAATAAATAAATAAACATTTATATACTTTTTAACCACAATTGTTTGTCTAGTGCAGGTCTGCGTTACGTCATCACATTGGAGATCTACTCCATTCCTTTTTCCTGATGACTTGTAGGACTGATAATCTTATCCGTGCAAGTGAACATTATTTCTAATTATAAAAATGTACCATGTTTATGTACACCATTAATTTTTTTAGTGTGATCACTCATGAGTGAATTATTGTCTTGGCATACCGTTGTGAACACCAAGGAAAGTGAAGATCTATCAAATTTTTAGGTTTTATTTTTCATAGAACTCTGTGTTTGCATTTGTTCATTAATTATTCAGAAATGAAATCAACACACAATTATTCAGCAAAAAATGTATTTTTTATCAAGCAATATTCAGTAAGTAAATATTACAAAAGAGTTGCCATACAGTATAAGCACAATTTCAAAAAAAGTTTTCTAAACAATTTTCCCTCTCAGTTTTTCGAATTTCTGCCTTTCTGATTTAAAATGTAATATGAAGATACATATTCATGAAAATACATTTTAAACTCCCCATTTTCCACACTCAAATATTTCTTCCCATTATCACTGATGTGATTGCTTCAGTCTCTGCTTTTCCACAAGAGACTGAAGCTTGAACTTTTTTTGTAAAGAATAACAAGAATAAAATCTTATCGTTCGTGTTTGTGTTTCTTCCGGAAACAACGGACCATATGAGATTCTGCACAGTTCAGCGCACTTGGATCGGTGTTCGTAGATCAACTGGTAGAGACTATTTTTCAAAGATGGCTTCTTCCTGTATTCCCGAAGTTTACTGTGTGTATAAAATATCTTCTTATTAAACTGTATGGACACTGACAAAGTTCTCAATGCTTCGGTTTGAATGTAGGGACCCTTATTATGCTGTCGTGTTACTGTGGGGCTATTTTGAGCCTTGTTAGTGGTAATAACAAGCGATTTTTATGTGTCATTACTCTATGCCCTATATACTAGCATTATACAAGCGTTATAGGCTAAACTGTTTTTAGAGATAAAACAATTTATATTCGGCAATCATGAAAACAAATCTCAGATAACGGTTGACTAGGTAGCAATATGTAATTAGACCAAAGGTTCATTTTGGGCCGGAGTTGTCCTTTAAATATGGAGCTGAGGTAATAATTATGGACTGAACTGTTTTTTTTTTTTTTTTTTTTTTTTGGCACTGTGCACTTTAGGAGCTATGGATTTTGAACTTTTGATGTTTCCTTTTTTATACTGTACTTGGACTCGGTCACTATCATGTTTACCCTGGTTTTACTGTGTGTCTGTGTGAATGGTTGTATGTCTATAGACGGTGTAGGCTATAGAAACTGAATTGCCCTTTGGGCAATTAATAAAGCTATCTGTATCTGTATCTGTAATCAAATTTTAATTTGGGTTAGATGCATCCATTGTGTCAAGTCAGCTCAATTTTATAAAGTATTGAACAAGTACAAGTAATTTCAACAATAACCTTTCAGAGAACAGTGCTAAAAGAACCCTTTTGTCTTAATGTGAAGAATAATTTGATCATCTAAAGAACCCTTTACACTTTTGAGAAATGTAAAGATTCCATGATAAAGGTTCTTCATGGAACCATCAGTGCCAATAAATAATCTTTATAATTAAGAGAAAATGACTACCTCTAACACACAGGGTGATCATGTTAAATGTTAAAGCATGAATATTACTGACCATTGATGCAGAAGGTCCAGGGATGATGTGTGAGTCTTCTTCAGACGCCAGAGTGAAGATGTAAGTGATGTAGATGTTATTTATAGTCCTGGACCCTGCGTGTCCACATAACCACTCTCTCTTTGGCAGGGGTTAAGCTTCTCCTTGTGTGAGTAATTCACCACAAACCCACATTTCAAATGGCCAAAAAACACAAACCTTTTTTTTTTATACCTTTGAGGGCAAATCAGCAAAAATTTGCCAACTTTATATTGAAGAGTGTCTTTACTCATAAAGCAAACAACTGGCCAAGATGTTTCATTCATTTCTCTTTTAAAAATGTGCATGTATATTGTATTAATTCTAATATCTCTATATATAACATAATGATTTTATATCAAGATGTACACTCTTAGAAGAAAAGGTTCTATATAGAACCTTAAAAGGTTCTATCAGCCCTACTACGTATTTGGAACCCCTAAAAGGTTCTATACAGAAGCCTTCATGGTTCTTTGTCACCAGGAAAAAGGTTCTATATGGAACCTTTTGGGTTCATTCATTATCATTTGTTTTGTCCTTTCCGGATTTAATATTCATATTAATGACAAACATCAAGACCATAAAAAAATTTCTGAATGCATGTGAATGATCACAAAATTCAAGATATGGGGGTTAGAAAATTTATATATATCTATCATTTTATGTAGTTCAATATCAATATCACACGAAGAGTGCCATTTCAGTTTTTTTCCTCCAAAAATCAGCATGATTAAAATGTGATATTGAGTTACTACAACAGTTTAACGAACAATAATTTAATTACAACTACAAAATGTTGCAGAATAATGAATGAATAATAGCCTATAAAGAACGTTCTTTCTTGTCATTATAGAACCTTTTTAGCATAAAAGGTTCTTTGGAGTTGAGTAAAAAACCCTAGACATATGGAACGCCAATAAACCCTTTTTTCTAACAGTGGTTGTAAATAATCCAAGAAATTTGAAAATGAAAGGACCATTCAGAATTCGTAAAGGCACAGGGGGGCTTACAGTGATCCAGGCCTGCATAGGCCAAACTGGGTGGGCAACATGGGTCTATGAAACTGTCACACCTTTATTACCATGGGGGAAGTTGTATTTATCTGATTGATCAGTTTGAATGTCTCACATTTGGGTTTTACTCACATGGTCAGAGAAAGGATAAAAGGGGAATCTTTCTGTTCTCTGGCTCTCTTTAATTATATTGGGGCTCTCTCTTTTTACATCCTCTCTCTCGCTCTCTTTGGTAACATTTTACATATATGGTGTGTACAATTAATGATATAAGTTATCTCATCCATCTGTTTTGTAACTATTTTAAGTGTAACCATAACCATATTTTGTCATTAAACTAGTTTTGATTTGGTATTGGCTTTGAAGTGCTATACCTATTCTACTGCAATACAATATTGTCACATATAGCAAAGCTCTCTCACATATTAAGATATTGTAACTGCTTATTTCCATCGCTGGTATGAGTAGCAGTGGGTGGATTAGACAAGAAATGTACAGTTTTACCATCTTGCTGGCAACGTTTCTTTAGTCATTCGGCAGCCTGAAACCCTTACAAAGATACGTTTGTTTGCATTTTGTTTTGTGATTTCACTGTGAAGAATGTATGAGCCATAAGAGAACACTGTCTCTGCATCACTGATAACAGCAGCAGATCACATCTGATTTAAGACAAATTAATGTCAACTGGATATGTTTGATATGCATTAGATATATCAGTGCAGCGAGATGTTTCAAAAAAGTTTACATTGAAAATATCGACCCTGGCAAAAAGTACTAGCATGTCCCACCTGCAAATTACGCCTATGATTGATTGGACAAACATTTTATGGTCCTACGCCTTCCACAGACGATATATATATATAAATACATTTAGACTGGTTAACTTTGTGATTGTGATCAGGATGTGAAGAGACTTTCAACCAGCATAAAAAAAAAATGTTTCTCCAGGGAACAAATCGCCTACCATTTAAACTGCCTAATGCACACATTCACATGACATACAAGCAAACATCAAGACAGAGATGCTTTTTAGAAACACAGCCCAGAGATTTCCTGATTTACAGGGTGTTTCAGTGATTTCCTGGAAGGAATTGGCCAGCCGGTAACTGCCCTGCCTCTGTACTTTTAATATGAGGGACATTCCCATCTTGGGTGATCAGCAAATAGCCCACACCTGTGACTTGATCAAACTGATTTGAATTTTGATTTAAAATGTCAACACTCTGTCCTTTGTCTTTATTTATAATAAAACATTTATTTTCTTTTTATTATGCATCATAATCATATAATAATCAACCTGTACAGTTCCATTAATAATGATTTAATAATACCGTAAGGCTACTTGTTGCTAGTCATCATTCTTTAGCTACACTGTAAAAAGTTTGCCAACTCAAACAAGTAACAAGCCTAAATTATACAGAACACTTTAAAAAATAAATAAGGTTGTTGTTGTTTTTCTCTTTAGATGACTAACATTTACCCAGCAGTCCTGTCAACAGCACCACCACGGAATATCAACTTTTCGGCTATTTTTTTAAGGCTATTTTTGGCTAATGTCTGTGTCGAAATTCAGTAACTCCACCCGATTCGTCGAGATCATGTGTCCACACACCGATCATCGTCATATGAGGTGAGCCCTCGTTTCCTGTCAGACAAATATCACCAGATCAACTTCCATTACGTGAGAAAAACAAACAAAATGCGTGACTATTAGCTTGAATGTAGAGAGTATCCAAATAAGTAACTGTCCAGGAGGGGGCGCCAATTGACCAACAATATGGCAAAACAAACTCACCAAGCAGTTTCTTTTACATGAAACACATGAAGATTATTTATCAATTTAACAGCAGGCAGTGGAACTTGCTGACTGTGAATTGTATTTTATACATTGAGTATCATTCACTAAAAGCAACTGAATGCATTATTAACATGTAAAGAAGCCTACAAAGAAATGATGAAATTAATCATGATTGTAACTTCAAACAAAGTTGTAGCTTCTGTTTTACAGCTGAATGGTTTATGGGAATCACTGAGGGCCTGGTTTCACAGACAGGGTTTATAGATTAAGCCGGGATTAGGCCTTAATTGGTTCAATTAGGACATTGATAGCTTTTATAAACATGTCTCATAGAAAACATAACTACAGAGCAAACCAGTTTTGCATTAAATAGACCACAAATAAACAGAAAGCGATTGTGTGCTGGCGTCTTTATTTCACATGAAACACCCATCATACATAGGCTAAATTACCACACCATTCCTTAATAAATGCACTTAACTTATACTACAATCATTAGTATTAGACTCATCCCTGATGATCCCTGAGTTTGTTAAAGGTGCACTATGTAACTTTGGTGCTTGCAAAGGCGTAAGTTAACACCAATTACAATTAAGTCCTGCAATTCCAGAGGATGCAGTTTCAGGACCGCATTTAGGAGCCAATTTCTTTACTAGCATTAACTGAATAGCATTAATTATTCAATTAAATCCTAACCAACCACTAAACCAACATAGTCTCGTTGGTAACCCTCTTATAATATTTAACCTAAGTTTTTTTTATTTTATGAGGCCCTATATCCTGTTTTTGAATTCAGTTTTCTGGGAAAGAAAGACAATTGTCTGTGTCTGTAAGAGACTTCAATTCATTAGCCGCTGCTCTGTAAAAACCAGGTAAAATGTCAGCTGCTTTAGCAAATACGTTTTTATATGCGTCATTGACGATATCGGTTTGGTTAGGAGGTACGTTGTTTTCTAAAGCGATAGAGCATCATTTAATTTTAGCAAAACAGATTGCCACAGCAATGGACTTTACAAGTTAAACTATGTGTACTGAATTTTAAAACAAAAGATTGTTGAAAGTCAAAAGAAAGTTGATCGTAATATAGAATCATATGTAAAAGAAAAGACCTGTAATCTTACAGTTCACTATTGATCATTTCTGGAGGAGTAGTAGTAGTTGGAGGAGGCAGACAGTCTGCATCTATGGGAGTGTTTCCTTCCCCATTACAAGCATAACACTCATTCTCACTCACACAGCGGAAAAGAGGAACATGAGCCGCAATCTGCTTGAACTCAGTCTGAAGATCTTTCGTGTCTTTTTTTTTGTCATGCTCCCAGAAATTCTTGAAGACAAAAGCTTTAATTCCATCATGTTCTTTCCATTTCTTCAGAGCATTTATAATGTTGTAAGGCCCTTTCGCATCCAGACATGTTTGAACACAGGGAGAATTAAAGGTGTAGAAAACAGAGCAGCTGTCTCCTTTTCTTTTATTCAAAAGATTGGTCATGGGTGAGTTGTCAACGGGATTCAGCAGGAGAGACTCTGAATGAATTTTGTACGTCTTTTTAATTTTAACTCTCCTATTTCCTGCAGCGATGAGCTCTCTTGGCTCTTGACCCTCGTAAAGTCCGTTTGAGTCATCATCGATAGCCTTTTTCACCTCCACAGCATTCTCCCGGTCCTTACGCAGGAAGGTGTTCAGATTGAAGTTCTGTTGACACTGATCCTTCGGCACATTGATGGCAATGGCGTACTGAAGGGGATAATCATCTCCAGCAGCGACTCTCTTAAAGCTGTCAATGAGTAGTCAATCACTTAATTTGATTACCACAGTTTTTGATAATATGTTTGTATTAAATCATAAAACGAAACTGTTACGGCGTCTGACCCTGGTGATTCCCTGCACTCTCAGTCCCGCGCTCTCTCTCCTGAATAAGTGTTTCATACTCCAGTTTATTTAGGGATCGTTACGCTCTGACGGCATTACACCTGTTCTGAACTCTGGTCCCCAACTATAGGGATCTCCCAATCACGTGACCCCTTGCCATTTTGCCGTGGGTAATATACATTATTAGTATATTATTATTTATATTATAAATAATATTTAAACGTATAAGTATTTTTATAATTAGCCTAAATATTGCAATACTTTGCGCTACAGTATTGATAAAATTGTATAAATACACTTATGTATTATAATTATTTATTTATTATTTATTCAGCACATTTTTAGAAGTAAAAAATTATCGCCCTCCCCCGAAGATAATATTGATCCTATCATCTACTGGTTAAAAGCGCAGTTTAGATTGGTTATATTCCGGAGGTTAAGCAGTGTGAAAAGTTCTCTTGTTGCTATATTTCCTCATCAAACTATGAGCTTTTAATTTTTCATAGACACTGGAGACAGACTTACTTCTGCTCGAAGAAGTTAATAATGCGGGCGAGAGTATTGATGTTCACAGAATCGTCTTCAACACTTTCTGTCCAGTCGGGAAGCAGAAAGAGCAGCAGGAGTCCACTCAAAAACACAGCGAACTTCTGAAAACACAAAACAGCAACACAATTATAAATACAATGTGCAAAGTCAAAAAATGAACCATTCAAAGTGACAACAACCTACTACTCCCAATAACACTATTTGTGTGTTATGGGCCTTTAACGTGACTGACCATGTTGTTTGTGATAAGGAGGAGTGACAAGAGAGAAAGAGGAAGTCGATGGTATTTATTCTAAGTGAAGACCAGCCCTCTTCTGTAATGACGAGAGAATTACTGAGAAAACTGTCGTAATCACTGACTTGAATCTTGAAAAATGCCATTGGCATTTTGTGTTCATAAGGCTCTTGGAAAGAATCAGTAATGGATAAGAAAAAAACTACGTGTTATTGGTTTTAATATATATATATGCATCAATAAGCATGTTTGCATATTTTGTTTGGAATTTAAACCAATACGGCACTAAAGCATTACTTGTAGTTAAAGTCATGAGTCCGCATCATGAATAAATCACTATTTTAAATAGTTTAAAATTCAATCAAGTAGGAAAATGATTTGATTTGGTTCACAATTCAGTCTGAATCTACTGAAAGCTTCACTCAGGGAATGCATCATTTGGAGCATTTTCTTATTCTGAGAAAGTTTAGAACACAAATACTAAAAGGGTGATGAAGGAAGAGGATATTAACCTACAGTACCTTGAAACCAAACCTGAAAATCTATCATATCATTTTTCAGAGATGACAAATGTATTTTTTTGTTTAGTTTGACATGTAGCTACTTGGAACCTGTTAACGGCACTTCACTTCAGGTAAAACCAGTTGACAAGTGAAGGAAACACTTTGTCAGAATAACATTGGCGTATGAGGCAAAAACCATGTGAGTATTGATGTTGGACCAATATAGGCTATATATCAAAGTACAGCGATTTTCTCGTGTTACCCATTACTACAAGGGAATTATGGCACCTGTACGCTAACTTTATGAAAGAAAGTTTTGCTACTGATGTCTTGGACTCGACCCTCTATGGTCTCGCTCTCGACTCGGACTCGACTCTCTTTGTTCTCGGACTCGACCCTCTATGGTCTCGGTCTCGACACAGAGCCTTCACTGCTGGTCCCGCCTGCACCTGATGAACTGTCTGCTCCACCCTGGTCACCTGTTAAGCCATCTATTTCTGATCTTGTTCCCATCCATGGACCTGGCATATTATCTTTTGCATGTTTTCCAGCTATCAGACATTCAGTGTGTAAAAACCACAGTTCAATGAAAGTGTTTCAATAATCTTTTGATCAAACTAAAACATGAAAGATACTTTAAAAGAACTTTGAGGAAATGAAGATTGTGCATCATGCTTTCCTTTGTGAGAGAGAATGAATGTCATCCTTGTGAAACTGAAGAGAACACATCCACTGCTGGTACAGTTATAAATCATCATCATTTTGGCATCTGTTGATATTTGTCTAGCAGCTGATGAGGGCTCACCTCACACGATGATCAGTGGGGCAATAAAACGGCCAACAAACTAAAAAAAAATTATCCATGTGTCAAGGCAGAGTTACTGAAAACAGACTGGCATTACAAGATGAAGGCTCACCTCATCCGATGATCAGTGGGGCAGTAAAACGGCCAACAAACTCATAAAAATTATCCATGTGTCAAGGCGGAGTTACTGAAAATAGACTGCCACTATACAAGCTACTAAAAATAACCTAAATTAGTGATTCAAAGTGTTGACATTCCACCTGGAGGTCCTGTTTACACGACAGCTAAGTATAAGAAAAAAGATTTTAGTCAATAAAACATCGGACTATGATTTTGATACTTTTGAAAAATTCTAATAAATGGTTGTGATAAACAAAAACAAAGGCAGTGTTGAAACCTCTTTAATCATGTGCTGAGCCCTCCACTCAAATGAGATTATGGTAAAGATGCTGGAATTCACGCCATATTAAAGCTGCAGTGTGTAGATTTTAGAGGCATCTAGTGGTTCAGTTGCGAAAACCATAGTCAGGTGAGGATCAAGGGTCTTAATATATAATATAACAATAGTAATCAGCTGATTGTCTCACGAACGTAACCAGCACATTTTTCCCCACAGTAAACCCATAATGCAGCGAGGGAGAAGAACCACATGAAACTATGCAACTATATATATTTTTTCTAGCAGGGTAGTAAAAGTTTAGCATGCTACATATGAGCTGTTACTGTGGCTGAGCTGAACAATATTTTGCATATTTACATATTTTACACTGTAGCACTATATGGTAGAAACATGACCTCACAACAAGTCGACCTTCATAGAAGGGGTTGCCCGCAGTTATATAAATGACTCATTCTGAGGCAATAAAAACATTACGGTTTATTGAGTAAGTTCTTTAAACATTACTGAAAACAGTTATGGATGTCATAAACACTGTAAAAAAATATTGTTGGTTTAACTTAAAAAATTAAATAACCTGGTTGCCTTAAAATTTTAAGTTGATTGAAATGGAAAAAGTGATTTCATACAATGAAGGAGATTGATTTAATCATCAGAAACTCAAAATAATAAGTTATCTCGACTAAATACACTACTTAAGTTGATTTGACAAAAGAAAAAATGTTGTGATAACAAATCTTGAAAATATTTTTTTTACAGTGAAAAAAATATTGTTGGTTTAACTTAAAAAATTAAATAACCTGGTTGCCTTAAAATTTTAAGTTGATTGAAATGGAAAAAGTGAGTTAATACAATGAAGGAGATTAATTTAATCATCAGAAACTCAAAATAATAAGTTATCTCAACTAAATAAATTATTTAAGTTGATTTAACAAAATAAAAAATGTTGTGATAACAAATCTTGAAAATATTTTTTTACAGTGTAGATACTCAAAATTTTTACACATTGCACCTTTAAATTTAGAGGAGAAACTAATTTTGTAAAGCCATGACCCATGAAGACCCTGCAGATCAAGATGTGTAAGTGGCTGCTTTTCTCAAAACTGCCTTTCTATGTGTCGATAAACCTAGAATCAACATTTGCCACCTATAATATCTTTGCCATGCAAATTAAACTTGTATTGCTCAGTTTATGTTGATGAACGTTTGGAGTTTTGCTTTTTATCTCCAGGCAGACATAGACATTCATTGTCATTGACCAGAGGCTTTTTGATCAATTAGGAATCACTGGTGCCCTTAAACTTACAAAATGTAAGAATTTTGTAATAAAATATCCCAAAATCACTTGCACAGTGTGATTATTTCCTGCAGTTGTGTACTTACATTATCCCAAAAGTTCCCAAAGATCAGAGAAATTCCAATTTTAAATAATTGCCCGTGCCAGAATCCCTGTTCACTCGTCGCATGTCACTGACGTAATATCCGCGTTTTCCCGCCACTCGTTCTGCCATAGTAACCATGGTGATAGATGTGGACAACTGCGTAGTGTGTAATGTCTAGCTGCATAATTTTTTGGTTCAAACATCATGTACCCATGACTTTGGGGAAAAAGCAGACTTTGGGAAAAAGGAGAACTAAAACTCTTTGTGTTCAGCGTAGTTGTCCAGTATCGTCATGTGTTACAAGCTGTTATGTTACCTGGATTACTTGAGCACGTTTTATATTAAATTATATTATTTTTTACACATATAATTATTTTCATATATAAAAAAAACTTTCATCAATTGTTACTTTGTTGGATTATACTTGTATTATCTTGTCTGGTTTGTTCAAATAATATTCAATATATACACACACACATTTTATTTATTTTTTGTGTGGCAGCAAATGAGTGATTACGTCATAGAACTCAACTATGAATGAATTTAGGAACTACAACCAACGAACTACGGATACGTATTCTGTTGGTGCTGTTTACATGACTGCTAAGTAAATGTCAGTCTGGACAGAAATCAGCACACATATTTACCTAGATTTAAGGGGTTTTATCTGGGAAAACCACGACTTGAAGGAATTCAGTTTACTCTGACTGAACACGCAGCAGATCAGGAGACATCACGTCATGGCTGCGTTTCTGAAAGCATCTCTGTCTCAGTAAACTTAAGTTCACAAATATGTGTACTCTAGGTCTTGTGACTTAAATGTGTGTTATTTCCTGTGTAAATGTTAATTTGGCAGTCAATCAGCTCATTTGCAGTTTTGCACTTTTGATTTATGCATTACACACATGACCAGAGGCTTCTTTATAATTTTGCTTAATTTGAAATCACTTGTTATAATGTTGCGAGTATCAACAATTCTTTTCCCCAGACCACATAGGGGTGAACGTTGTTTGGGACAATTTTCCCAGTCATCTTAAAGGAGTAGTTCACTTTTCAAAAAACTTTTGCTGATAATTTACTCACCCCCATGTCATCCAAGATGTCCATGTCTTTCTTTCTTCAGTCGAAAAGAAATTAAGGTTTTTGATGAAAACATTCCAGCATTTTTCTCCATATAATGGACTTCAATGGGAACCAAACGGTTCAAGGTCCAAAAGACACTTTCAGTGTCAACTGCAAACTGTTCAAAGGGCTTTAAACAATTCCAGACGATGAATAAGGGTCTTATCAAGCGAAACGATCGCTCATTTAATAAATAAATAACAAAGTTTTATAAGCTCAAATGCTCGCCTTGCTCTGTTCTGTGACACACGTTTGTGACTCTCCGTTCATCAAGATGAATGAATCTTTTTCTGTGTCATTTGGTTCAATCAACGAACGAAACGAACGAATTGACTCGGAAAAAGATTCGTTAATTTTGATGAACAAGTTCGAACAGGAGAGTCACAAACGTGCATCACAGAACAGAGCAAAGCGAGCATTTGAGCTTATAAAACTTAAACTTTTTTTTTTTTTTTTAAATGAGCAATCGTTTCGCTTGATAACAAAAATTAATCGTCTAGAATCGTTTAAAGCCCTTTGAACAGTTTGAACTGTCTTTTGGACCTTGAACCGTTTGGTTCCCACTGAAGTGCATTATATGGAGAAAAATCCTGGAACGTTTTCATTAAAAACCTTAATTTCTTTTCGATCGAAGAAAGAAAGACACGGACATCTTGGATGACATGGGGGCGAGTAAATTATCAGCAAAAGTTTTTTTTTTTAAAGTGAACTACTCCTTTAATAGCAAAAAGTGTCCCAATCAACCTGAATTCACCCCTCTAATTTATTATTTAGCCTATATACATAAAATAGAACGTCAAATAAAACAT